GGGGGGAGTGGGAGAGCAGGACTGTTAAAACCTGTCCTCTTTAGAGATCAAAGGGAAATCCTGCTGTGTTGGCCAAACAGTGGAGAAAAGTCTGCTTCTCTTGACTTCAAAGGGCGCTTATCAGCTCAATTCCCTTTTCTCAGGAGCATGGGAAGTCCTTGAGACCCTGTTGGTGATGGGGCAGGGCTATCTGAACCTTAACAGGAGTGTGCATGGATTTGATCAAAACACCTAAACACCTTATATGCATGTATGAACTTCTCAATAAATTATTTTTTAAAAAAAGGTGATTACAGTACCCAGGAACTCTGGCCAATTGCAAAATTCAACCAGGTCTGGTCTGACAAAAAAGCACAGGCAGTAGCCCCACTCAAAATCAGATCAAAGGCAGCCATCTAAGTAGCTAGGTAAAACAAAACTAGGCCCAGTCTGCCCAGAGTCATTACTAGCTAGGCCACGCAGATTCCCTGGCTGGACTAGTAGTAAGGGTCTATCCCTGCCAAAAAATAGCTATAAAATTGGAAGTGGTTGTCTCTATACATGCATAGACAGTGACACAATGACACATGGTTGCAAAGAATTAGGAAATCAGGAGACCTTGGCACACCAACACAGTTCCAATGATGAGCCCTAAAGAAATGGAGAGCAAAGAAAGTGTTGATAAAGATCAACCATAATTATCTTCAAGATGTTTTATGAACTCTAAGAATAAACATTAAATTTAAATCAAATGTGGAAAACAATACATGAATAAAATGAGACATTTAACAATGAAATAGAAACAATAAAAAGAAACAGAATTTCTAAAGATGAAAAACACAGTGATTGAACTGCAAAATGCAACAGAAAGTTTCAACAGCAACTCAAGGCTGAAATTATCTAGCCAGAGGAACAGAAAGAAAAATGATATTAAAAAACCTAAGAATGCTTATATTCCAAAGACTTCATTATTGCACAGTAGAAGATAAAGAAGAGAGATACAGACTAGAAAGCATACTTAAAGAAATAATGACTGAAAACATACCAAAGCTGAGGAGAAGCCAGTGTCAGGACTGGGAAGCACAGAAGTATCAGTTCCAATACAACCCAATGAGCCCACCAAGACACATAATACTGAAAGCCAAAGACAAAACATCTAAAACCAGCATGAGATAAGAAACATTACATGGAAGGGAATCCCATGAAACTATGAGCAAATTTTTCAACAGAAATGCTGCAGACTAGAAAAGAGCAAGATGTGATACTCAGTGTAAAAGGAAAAAACAAAAAAACCACTAACCAAGAATGACTTCGCCACCTAAGCTGTCCTTCAGAAATAAGAAATAATGACCTTTCCTAGATACACAAAAGCCAAAGAAGCTCACCATTATTAGACTGCCTCATAAGAATTACTTAACAGCATTCTTTAAGTTGTAACAAAAGACCACTAACAAAATATAGGAAAGTTCAAAACTCATTAAAGAATCATATTCAAAGTATTTTGGACTAAAATAATAGTGACGAAACAATCTTATTTGTAATATGACAGTTCATAGGCAAATCCATTAAATATAACTGAAATATTTTCTAGGGATACAAATTACAAAATTAAACAAATTCTGACATTAAAAATGTAGGGGTAGGAGAATAAAAGTATAGAATAATAAGCAATCAAAGTTATTATCAGCTTCAAATAGCCTGTTATGTTTTATGTAAGCCTCACAATGGGAAAAATTCACAGCATACCACTACAGAAAACTACCAAACAAGGGTTGGAACAAAGGAATAAAGTCAAATTATAAAATGTCAATAGGACGTCCTGGCTACCATTTTGCAATTAGTCATACACTGAATGATTAAGCAGATTTGAAACAATGTTTACTTTTTTGTAGACATTTAATTCAAAAAAAGACTTCATTGCTTTAGTCAAAATTTTTGCTGGTAATAATTTTCACTGGTGCTATTATCATTACTTGTTGGTACAAGGTTAGAAATAGAAAAGTGATTTTCAGAGCCAGCATCAACTTGAATTATTTTTTATTTATTTTTATTTTATATGCATGGATGTTTTGCCTGCATGTATATGTGGGCACCCATGTCGTGCAAGGCCCACAGAGGACAAAAGAGGAAGTCAGGTTCCCTAGAACTGGAGTTATGGAAGGTGGTTAGCTGTCATGTGGGTACTGGGAACCAAACCCAGGTCCTCTGCAAGATCAGGCAGTGCTTTTAACCACTGAGCCATCTCCTAGCCCCCACCAGCATCAATTTGGAGAGAAAAAATAAAAGAGCATTTCTTAGCTCTTCGCATCCCTGTTTAACTTGAGACTAGTCACCTAAGAAAAAATAATATCCATGGAAGTTAATAACCACTAAAAAGTAGACATGAGGGTCTAGGGAGATGGCTCAGTGGGTAAAGTGCTTGCTGTGCAAGCATGAGGACCTGAGTTCATATCCCCAGCACCCATTTAAAAGCTAGGTATGGTGGCTTGCATCTGTAACCCCAGTGCTAATGGCACAGAGACAGATCTTGGAGGCTTGCTGGACAGCTAGTCTAGGTGAAAAACTGGTAAGCTCCAGATTCAGTTAGATACCATGTCTCAAACAATAAGGTGGAGATGACTCAGTGGCTAAGAGCATTTATTGCTCTTTCAGAGGACCCCAATTTGTTTCCTAGCACCCAAGTCTGGCTCACAGACTCCTGTAACTCCAGCTCCAGGGAATCTGATACCCTCTTGTGGCCTCTGTGGGCAACTATACCTATGTGAACATATCCCCTATAGAGACACACATAAATAAAAATTAAAAAACAAAATCTTTTTAAAAAGCAAATAAATAAGGTGGTGGAGATAGAGGAAAATACCCTATATAGGAAAATACCCTCTGGTGACCACATGCATATACATGGGCAGGTACACCCCCACACACATAAATGTACACTATATACATCAAGAAAAGAAAAAGAACAGAGTAGACATGAAAATTAAAATCATATATTCTAGCTAACAAAATCACAAGTCTTTTTATTTGTATAGCATTGAACCATTTCATTGTATAGAATACAAAAGCAATATCTTAATTCTATATCAGTAGAAAACCAAAGGTTGAAAACAAATGAAAATCACAAATTATACTCACTATCAACATTAAATGAATCCAAAAGGGTAGCATTAGTACACTGCATAATAAAGAAATATATCATAATGAGAAACAGCAAGGGACTAATCAACCTTCCAGCAGACTGACTCCATCCATCAGAAATACCATTACAACTAAATTCAAACTCACCCATTGTGTCTACTCCTTTCCTGCCAGCACGGCCAACCATCTGCTTATAAGTACGAATATCTAGAGGTTGGCCACTGAAAACTGGAGTTCGGATAATCACTCGGCGGGCAGGTAAATTCACTCCAGAAGAAAGAGTAGACGTTGCTGCCAAAACCCGAATAAGACCTTGACGGAAGGCTCCTTCAATGATGTCCCTCTCTTCAAAAGTAAGACCTAAATAAAAAGCAGGTCACCAAACATAGTAACATATAATGAAAATGCACTCAATCACTTATAAATGGATCTCAGAGTCTGCTACAAGCCCTTCAAGATCTTTCTTTACACTATATTTAAGACTACAAACAAAAATAGTCATGTCTACCTTTTTAAGAATCTCATCTTCCATCCCTACTATATATCATCTTTTAGGCAGAGAAGTAAACTGTTCCTGTATTTTAGGTTTCTATTGTTTGAGGTGAAGCAGATGGTCTCTGTTGCAGCTACTTATCCTGCATTGTCATAGGAAAACAGCCACAAAACAAGTAAGTAGGACTGTGCTCCAATAAATTTTTATTTATAAGAACAGATGGCAAGTTAAATTTAACCAGCATACTACAGGTTGACCAACCTCTGTTCTTCTATGTGGACATGTATACACACAAACACATTTTTAAATTTATGTCATGATATTTATTGTTAAATACACCATGATAAAAGTTAAATAAAAATGAAAGTGCTGAATTTCTAATCTTCGAAAACATATTCTTCATGATCATATTTTTTTCTTTAATATATGCATGTATTGCCTGCATGTAGGTAAGTGCACCCGTGTCGTGCAATGCCCATGGAGGTCAGAAGAAGCTGTCGGATCCCCTGGGACTGGAGTTATGGACAGTTGTTAGCTGCCATGTGGGTACTGGGATTCAAACCCGGGTCTTCTGCAAGAACAACCAGTGTTTTTAACCACTGAGCTATCTCTCCAGCCCCAATGATCATATTCTTAGCACATATGATTACAGACAAAACACTTCCTGCAAAGTTCTTTAATTTGAAAAATGCCATAATATCTGCAATTTTGACAACCTAGCCATTTGATTTGTCACATCTAGTCTTCTCCAATTAAATGACAATTTCTAAAATAAATTTGACTTTGATGTATTTGAGAGAGTATTACTTGACACAAAAGAAAACAGCAGTCAGCCAGGCATGGTGGTGCACGCCTTTAATCCCAGCATTCAGGAGGCAGAGGCTGGCGGATCTCTGTGAATTCAAAGCCAGCCTGGTCTGTATAGTGAGTTCCAGGACAGCTGGGGCTACAGGGAGACCCTGTCTCAAAAAGACCAAAAAAAACAAAAAAAAAAAAAAAAAAAGAAGAAGAGCAGCATAAAATCTGAGGATAAAGTACCACTCTAACATAAATTTTAAGGAAACAAAGCATAGGAAGGTATAAATTTTGGAATTTACTTTCCCAACAGTTCAAAAGCACCCATTACCTAGTGCATCTTACTATACAGATAAGTAAGCTAAGAATGTTTAACTCTGACTTAACTAATCTCATTATTTAAGATGAAATCTACAAGTATTAAGTGTGATTAACAAGAACTAAATTCACATAAATATAAAAATGAAGGAATCATGAGAGTTTGGAGAGAGCTTGCCAATATAGATTATGAACAATACCTGCGTGATGAAATGCTACTCCCCATGGAACAGTGTTTCTTAACACAGAGTCCAGTCCTGACGGTGAACGTTTTAACTGATCCATCACTTCCAGAAGGCCCTTTTGCTCCAGAATCACTGGTGGAAATTCAGATGACTTTACTAATTCTGTCACACACACACACACACACACACACACACACACACACACAAAATTATATATCTCAACACTTAAAATACCGGTTTTCCTTGTTGAGTGTTACCTCCCCTAAGTCATGACAGAAATAAAGACTAGATTTAGAAACTGCTGCATACTACTGTCATTTGTGATCTTTTTTTTTTTTTTTGAGACAAGGTCTCCCTATAGCCCCAGTTGGCCTGGAACTCACTATATAGACCAGACTGGCCTCAAGCTCACAGAGATCTGCCTGCCTCTGCCTCCTGAGTGCTGGGATTAAAGGCATATACTACCACACCTGGCTCATCCACTGGACGCTGTGATTTAACTGGGATGGGGGATGACTTGACCCTGAAGAATCTGTAAATCTTCATAAGCAATTTTTATAATGTATGCCAAAGTTTAAGAAGCTCAGCTTTAAGGAGACACCATGCTCAACTGTAGGGTCACAAGAGCCTGCTAAAGAAAGGACTCTGATTATCACTTGTTATGGTTTGAGTATGAAATGTCCCCCAAAGGCTCATGTTTTAATGCTTAGTTCCCCAGATGGTGGCACAATTTGAGGAGCTTTTAGCAGGTGGGGCCTGGCTGATAGCAGTGGAACTTTGGGGGTGCACCTCTCAGGGTAATGCCCACCTGGAACACCAGCTCTTGCTCTTTGCTTCCCATTGGCTGCCATGATGTGAGGAGCCCCAGCTGCTCTTCTGCATCCATGAACTCTGCCACACCTTCCCTACCATGATGGACTTGTACCCTCTGAAACCATGAGCCAAAGAAATCTTTGCTTTCTTAGGCTGCTCCCGTCAGGTATTCAGTCACAGTGACAAGTAGCTAACAAACCACTTCAAAGCTTAAATCAAGTTCCTTGCTCATGTCCCAGCAAGCTGCATGTCAGCATTGCCTAAGGTCTTAGTTCTCCATGAAAACTTTTGTAGTACCTAAGAACTACATATTACCTCCTAGTTCTGCCTTTCTATGAAACTTCTCAACTAGCAAGACTTTAAACATAGAAATTATATTTTCTTAGAGAATTTCCCAGATTTTTAGATTTCTGAACTTATAAGACATTTCATTAAAACACTTTTTTTTTTTCTTTTGTCTTTTTGAGACAGGGTCTCCCTGTAGCCCCAGCTATCCTGGAACTCACTATGTAGACCAGGCTTGCCTTGAACTCACAGAGATCCACCTGCCTCTGCCTCCTGAGTGCTGGGATTGACATTTTAATGTGTACTTTATATATTTTTTATTTTTAGGTAAACCAAAAATTCTGAGGATCCACAGAGGGTTACCTATATTTTATTTTGCTAAAGACAATTAAAAACATACCAAACTATTGCCCAACAGTATTTTTGCTTCAAAAGAAGTCTTTTTTGTGTTTTTGTGTTCATGTGTATAAATGTCCACACATATGTGTGGGTGAACATGTGCAGGTCAGAAGACAATTTGGGTACTCTTCCTCAGAAGCTGACAACCTGGTTTTTTGTTGTTTGTTTTCTTTTGTTTTGTTTTTGGTTTTTTTTTTTTTTTTTTTTGAGGCAGGAGTTCTCTCTAGCCTGGAACTCACCAAATAGGCTAGGCTACCTGACCAGCAAGCCTCAGAGATCCACTTGTCTCCACTTCCCCAGTGCTGAGACTACAAACACATACCACCATGCCTGGCATTTTTTAAATTTTTTTTATTAAGTGTGATTTTGAAGATGGAACTCATGCAAAGCAAGCACTTTACCACCTGAGCTAGCTCTCTAGCCCCAAAGAAGTCATTTTAACAAATAAAAATATTAGTAAGGATAATTTCAGATTTTAAACTTCAGTTTTATGAAAAATGTGCTACTTTTATCTTTTTCTTTTTTTTTTTTTTTTCCTGGAGAAAATTTCAGCACAGGCTAGGCTCCAATCTAAACACCAGCATTTGGGAACCACTATAGATCAAAATTAACAAAACTCAGAAGAAAATGATAATAATGATTCTGGTCCTTAAGGAATACACGTTATGGTGGCACAATGTAATATAAATTAGCTTTGTACAGAAAGCACCAGGCAAGACGGATCTGAAGAGATACTACAATGATAATACAATGTTGAATCACACAGCAGCCAGTAAAAACTTCAGCAAAGCTCACTTGCTGCAAAGAAGCATGAGGTATCTACTATTACCCTCAGGATGACGCTGGCAGAAAGAAGCAATATCCTAATATTCTATGACTAGAACTGATCTAGTTCTAGAATTTCATAGCAAAGACAAAGGCCCTGGGATTTAGAAAAATGTCTGTGATAATTCCTCATTTACATGAAAATATAATTTATTTACAAGTAACTCATGTCTAAGAGATGGAAAAGAGAAGGAAGGAGGAGAAGGCAGCTGAGTACTACATATAAAAATTAGATTTCATAAAACCCAAGTCTTTAATTATAGACATTTTCAACTTCAATATTTTTGGTACAATCTTAAGTATTTTGTATAATTTCCAAGAAAGAATCAATAAAATACAAAGAAGAGATGATAAAAGAAGGAAACAATATTCAGTTGATATATTATCTAAAAGGTCCAGGATTGAACAGAATACTATGAAATGTGCAAGAAAGTATGTCCTCAACACAGGGGGAAAAAAAAAAAAAAAACAAGCAAAAGAAACATCTTTGAGAGAGTCCAGATGTTAGAAAAGCAAAAACCCCAAATAATCACAGGGTAGGAAAAATATTGAAGTCACAGTAGTCATCTTATAATCAGTAAAAAAAAAAAAGAGAGAGAGAGAGAGAAACAATTGGTTATAGCAATACATTAAATGACCATTGTAATTGTAATTGTAATTTAGAAGGGACAAACTGATAAATTCAATAACTCAAATGGGTCTACAAAACATATATACATACTGCATGGCATCAGGTATATGAAATTCTCAGAAAAGACATAGCAATCTAAAGCGACAGAAAGCATATCAGTGGCTGCCTGCAGCTGACAACAGAGGGAGATTACCAGCAAAAGGCAGAAAAGAACATTTCAAAGAAGTGGACGTGTTCTATGTGTTGATTACAGTGGTGGACAGGCAGTGGTATACATTTATACATTAAAATTCATCAAATGAAACACTTAAAATGTATGCCTTTTATTATGTATAAAGTATAACAAAAAAGCTAATTTTTAATCATTTTTTTTAATTTTTAATAACTACATGATTAGAAGAAGGATTTCACTACAGCTTTAACATATTCAGTAACATACTCCAGAGCAAGAGTACATCTCTTTCACAAGTGGGTGCAAGTTTCTAGGTTCACAGTTGAATTAATACAGTTATACAATATTGAACTCAGTATAAGCCCTGTAAGACAAAAAATTGCAAAAAAAGGCTAATTTTAAAATACATGTGTATATATGTATATTTCTATCTATATGTATATATACATATATGCATATATGTTTATATATGTATACATATATGATTCTTTTTGGAGCCATACATTTGGAAATTAAAGAAAGATATGGTCACTTTCCCCTAAAAAAATGTACATGTGTAGTTTTGCATGCAATTTAGGGCCCCAAGAAATCAACCTCTCAAAGCTCATGAATCCAAAATGAAGAATCTTAGTGTACACATATAACCCATCACTCAAAATCTGAAGACAATTAGCCTGAGTATATGTGCACATTATTAATAATGAGGACAGAAGCAGATCTGAACCACAGAAGCATAGTTTTATCAACTCTCTAGTAGACAGGCAGTGACAATGTCAGGCAGTGGCAATGATGAAACAGAGATACACAGTAAGTATGGCAACTTCCACACGAAACTCACCCTCAGATTGATGCTGTAAATTATAAAGCTCTCGGGCAATAATATCTGCTAGCTTCTCACACCATTGTTTGGATGGACAAAAGAGTAATACTGAATGGTTATCACGAATAGTTTCATAGCATAAACTAACAATGTGGTCTTCATCTCCCTAAAAAAGAGAAATAACTACATTAGTCATACTGTCAAAACATTTGCACACTAGTTTCAAATTATACATTTTGATTTTTTTAAATTTATGTATATGAGTGTATTGCCTGCATGTGTATAAGTGCACCCATGTCGTGCAGTACCTGTGGAACATCAGAAGAGGGCATCAGATCCCCTGGACCTGGAGTTACCAAGAGTTGTCAGCCACCATGTGGGTGCTGAGATTCAAACCTGGGTTCCCTGTAAGAGCGGCCAGTCTTAACCTCTAAGACATCTCTCCAGCTCCCTCAAATTACACATTTTGATTCATTAAAAAACTTTTCTATTGAAAGGAATAATAAAAATCATTTACAATTAAAAAGAAAAAAACCACATGATAATGACAGGTGAGAAGGAAATGTTTTTTATGCATTCAACTAATATTTACTGAGTTCTAACTCTTGGGCAATGGAGATATAGTGGTAAGCAAAACAAAGCCCTAATTGGCAAGGGGTTTATTCGAAGTTTCAGTGAGAGACACAAAAAAATACTAAACAACCACAAAATGCACCGGAGAGAGATTTGTGTTTTAAAGCAAATATGTTTAAAGCATATTTAATATCAGAGATTTGAAAAACACCTAAAAGAAAGATTTCCCTCAGAAAATAAGATAGCTTAGATGTGAAGGAAGAGATGTACTACCTCAATGAAGGGAACATTTTCCAGGCAGGTGAGAGACACAAAAAAATACTAAACAACCACAAAATGCACCGGAGAGAGATTTGTGTTTTAAAGCAAATATGTTTAAAGCATATTTAATATCAGAGATTTGAAAAACACCTAAAAGAAAGATTTCCCTCAGAAAATAAGATAGCTTAGATGTGAAGGAAGAGATGTACTACCTCAATGAAGGGAACATTTTCCAGGCAGAACGCAGTTTGTATGAATGCCCTATAGAAGCTTCTCCATACTGGAAGAATGTTAATGTGGGTAGGGGGGAAAGAAAGTAATTTTCATTTATCGAATACTTTACAAATGCTACACACAGAAAAAAAAATCATATTTTATTCTTACCAAAAACATACCTTATATTCCACCTTATAGATAAAAACAGAAAGTTTAGAGAGGTTTTAGGACTCAACTAATACCTCAGCCATTTTGTGTTCAGTGTCTGAGGAAGGTCTATGTGACTCCTAAAATGATGTTCTTTTCACTCAATATACTATATGTTAGACCTACCATTTAACAAATAGTTAATTTTTCACATTACTGTATAATGTAAACTAACACGAAAATTCTTTCCTAGTTAACTAGAAAAAACAAATTCATTTTTAAATGTTTATATAGATAGACAAACAGATATCTCAGGAAATGATTGTTTAAATTAAAAGCACACTACATGTCCTCCCACTATCCTCATCAATTGTTTAAGGTAGAACTACTTAGCTTAGTATTAATTCTAATGGATATGAACTGTACTTTGCAATCTTGGATTATATAATTAAAAATTGTTAACAGCTGCTGGGCATGTAATCCCAGCACTCAGGAGGCAGAGGGAGGCAGAGCTCTGTAAGTTCAAGGCCAGCCTGGTCTTCATAGTGAGTTCCAGGCCAAATGCAGCTACAGAGAGACTCTGACTCAAAAAGACCAAAAAAAAAAAAAAAAAAAAAGTTAACAGCTTCATAGAAAATGCAAAGATACCGATAGTAGAGATGTAAAAGTAAGGATTTACCTTCACTTGTAGCATAGGTTGAAATTCTCTCACAAGCTTCATTGAAGAGTCATATATGTAATTTCCAATTTTTATTGACTCTAAAAGCGGTACAGGACGAAAGTCAGTATGGTAGAGTTCAGCATTCAACCAGGAAGCTACCAGCTCCAAATTAGGAAGAGTGGCACTCATGCCAATAATTTGCACAGCATTAGACAGAGGGCTGGATGAATCTGCCTTACTGTGAAAATAAACGAAAATCACATTAAAAGATATATAAAAATTAACAAGTAGTGCTGCTGACAATATTCTTGATCATGTCCTTTGGCACACATATGCAGACATTTCTGTAGAGTATAGACCTAGGAATAAATGTATTAGATCACAGATTATTGGTCACAGATAGTCAAGTTTAATAAATAATATGAAGCTGTTTTCCAGGGAGACTGTACCAAAGTAAAACTCCCACAATATGTGTGCTCTATTTTTCCACAGTCTTGTCACCATTTGACAGTTCTACCATTGATCGTTTTAATGATAAGCATTATAGAGTGTGCATGGTAATACTTGTTTGAAGAAGTAATTTATATTTCTTTGATTACTGAGGAGATTGAGCACCATTTCACACTTAAACACCATTTGGATAATCAACTATAAGCAAACAACTATAATTTCTTGTCGATATACTGGATTGTGTTTTTCTTACTCACTCATAGCATTTTTAAATACTCTGGACAGTGAACAGTGAGTTTCCTCTTCCCTACTTTCTGTGGCATTACTTTTTTTTTTTTAATTCCTAACATGGATAACTAAGTAACTACCAGTATTTCTTCTTTTATAATATGTATATTTTATATTATCAATTTCCCTTTTAAAACTACTTTAGTTACATTTTACAACTTCTGTTGAGATAGTTTTATAGTTCAAAAGTATTTTCTAATTTCTATAGTGCTTACTTCTTAATACAAAAAATAGTCCAATATGTATTATTTAGTTTTCAAACACAGAGACTTTTTCAATTACTTAATGATTTTCATTTTATGTGTATGAGGTGTGTAAGTGCCTACAGGTGTGTAAGTGCATCTGTGTTGTGCAATGCATGTGGAGGTCAGAAGAGGGTATTGGATTCCCATGGAACTGGAGTTATGGACTGTTGTCAGTCGCCATGTGGCTGCTGGGAATGGAAACCGGGTCCTCTGCATGAGGAGCAAGTGTTCTTAAACGCTGTGTCATCTCTCCAGCCCCTCAAAGACATTTTTAGTCATGCATTCCTTACATTTATTTCCAACCGAACTCCACTGCCTCTGCAGAACATATTTGAATTAATTTCAGTCTTTCAAAATATATTAAGACTTGCTTTATGGTTCAGCAGATGGCATTTTTCATATGCACTTGTACATGGAATCTATATATTCCATGTACAAATGTGTAGAACCCCTACACTAATTTTAAGAGTTTGGGGTGATTTGTTTTTGTTTTGGGACAGGATCCTACTATGCAGTCCAGGCTAGCCTTGAACTTGAGATCCTCCTGCCTCTGACTCCCCAGTTCTAGGATTATAGGTATGTGCTGTCACACCAGCTACACTGATGTTTTTGGTAACTGTTTTATATACACACACTAGTTGAAATTTGTTCACTTTATTAGTCATATCTTCTATATCCATAGTGGTTTGGGATACAGTCATCTTTTTCTATCACATACTGAGTGACATGTGTTCAAATCTTAACTAAACTGGAAAAAAACTCATTAAGAGCCCAGCATAATGAATGAAATTAAGCCAAGTAATATTGATTATAAATTTCACAACCTTGGGCAAAATAAAACAAAAAATAAAGGCAGTTCTAAAAACTCCCAGGAAAACTCCCAAACAGAATTTAAAAATAAAAATTAAGACCTAGGCATAATGTGCCTATAATCCCAGCACTTGAAAGACAAAAGCAAGAGGATCATGAGGTCAAGGTCAGTCTGCAGTACATAAAGTTCCAGGCCCACTTGAGTTATATAGAAAGACCTTCCTCAAATAAAAAATAGTTCAAAATTTTTCTGAACAAAGGATGAAGCATCAGTATGGTGCCGGATCTCTCAAAATGAGAAAGTAAAGTAATAACTGCCAAGTCTAAAGGAAAACTATATCAATCTTTTTTCACGGACAATATATGAAATAATTACAAGGCACTTTTAAACATGCAAGCTCTCAAAAAGCAAACCATACTAGCGTGTTCAATGAACTAAAGTAGAACTTCCTTGAAGTTATCCCTAATTCAAATGAGCAAATAAATCAAGAGACTCTGTTTCAAGCAAAAGGAAAATGGAAATAAAAGCTGAAGATAAAGATGACTACTGTGTAGCTCATGGACAGACTGACCACTTCTCCAAACTGAAACAACTCAGAAGTGAGAAACTTCAAAATGATACCTTGGGTAGAATAGTAAATGTACTAAAATATAATAGTTGAAGCTTTACATGACTAGGGACAAAGGTAGGGATAAATTAGCAATATGCCTGCAGAAAGCCAAGCCCACAAACAAGAAACGTATTTATTAGCACCAGAGAAAACAAATTTTTCTAAAGGTAAAAGCAATCAATGACAATACACTATAGCTGAGTTCAGAATGGCACACATAGTCATATTACTGTAACACTGAATAATGATCTAAACAAAATTATGATTACATTTAGAGAATGGGAAGATGATGAATGGAACAAGGAGAGACTGTGTGGGGAGAAGACTGGGCACGAGTGAATAGAAAATACAAAAGAGAACAGTACCTTCATTTCCCAAAGTAAAAAAATCAATATCCAATGTTAAAACTAAAACTTCAGGGGCTGGAGAGATGGCTCAGTGGTTAAGAGCACTGACTGCTCTTGCAGAGGACTGGGGTTCGATTCCCAGCACCCACATGGCAGCTACTAACCGTCCTTACCTCCAGTTCCAGGGGAACCCGAAGCCCTCTTCTGACCTCCATGGCATTGCATGACACGGGTACACTCACATACATGCAGACAATACACTCATATACATAAAATAAAAATTTTTTTTAAAACTAAAAATTCAAGCAGCTACATTTAGAAATACTGTTGTAATATTTCTTTTTTAATTTAAACTAGAAGAGTTGTCAGTATATGCTTATGAATGTAGGAACTGAAGAAATGCTATTTTACAAAATTAGTCTTTGCTACTTAAGTTACATATACATATAACTGACAAATACAAATGCTAGATTTTTAATCTATCAAGAAAGTAATATATTAATCTATGCATAAAATAAGTCACTAGGAGTCACTTTACTACTGTGTCTATTTAACAGAATAGTTGTGTTGGGCTCTCCTCTATGGCCTGTGGCCTGTCTAGCCACATGTTCCTCCTAGGCCTGATATCAATGTCAGGTATGGGCTTCTTTATGAAGTAGATTTTAAATCCAATTAGAAAGTGATTAGTTGTTCCCATAATATTCATGCCACTATTGCACTAGAGGTCCTGTCTTGCCAGGCCAGTTGTTGAAGCATGTAGGACTCAGAGCTGGTAAACCTAACGATTAATTTTCAACTCTCACCAGAGAAGCTTCCTTAGGCAGCAGACGGTGACTAACACAGACACCCACACTGGCCAATGTGCAGAAAATAAGAGACTGCAGAGTGATTATCCCTAAATTGGATACTTATATCAATCCACTGTCTCTCAAGGCTCAGGGATCATTGCATAAGAGGTGCTAGATTTGTAAGAGTCAGAGGTGGTAGATGGTCACAAGGAAAAAGTTTCATCTAGACAGCTGGTCAATTATTCATATGAACTCACAGCAATAGTGACAGTACGTGCAAGTCCCACGTAAGTTCAAACCAGACAAAAATCGCAGCACAGACATGGGGAAATGGGTAAGAAACTCCAAACCTAGCTAAGGAACTATTGGCAATTGATGGCTGCTAGAAAGAGGAGAGTCTGTCTCTTTTAAGGGACAGTCTGTCTCTTTTAAGACTCTGGGTAGGTTAACCAGACTCCAGTGGACAGATCCACACAAGACATTTGGGGGACATAAATTTGATTCCACGGGCCTTAATATATATTTACATATATATAATTTACATATATTTATTTGCATATATATGTAAAATTATATATATGTATATATATATGAAAAGAGTACATGCAATTGAGCAGGGGATTAGTAAGGGGAAGTGCAGATAGGTGAGGGAATCTAAATATACTCAAAATATATTATATGAAATTCTCAAAAATTCAAAAAAAAGTGATACATGAAAATAAAAATTAGTCAGAAATTTTTAAATATTTGAAAGTGGTCTAAAATCAGTTTCATTCTTAAGTATTTGTTTTAGAACAAGAACAAGCTACTGTACAAGAACTTGTTTGAATAAGAAAGGTACTACATGCCTATAAACAGTATCTGTTCACTTTTACAGATTCTTCCTCAACATCTTTTGTAATCTCAGATATTCAGTTATTGCTTGTACTCACCAAGATGCTGATTTCTGAGTAATATAGCAAATTTTGGTCAGCAAAAGTTCCAGAAGATACCCTCGGTGAGAGTCTCCCAGCATGTGCAATTCATCCACAACCACCATTCCTAGGAAGTTTCCAGATTCTCATTTTACAAATTTTCTCAACTCTAAGATTTTTAAGACTCAATATCTTATATCTGACAGTAAACAGTTGTCAAAATAATATCCTGCAAGTAATGTAAAGTTCTAACCATAAAGCAAAGTCCAGATTCTGAATAATGGCCAATTCTTTTCCAAGATGTTTTCAGGATCTTAAGCAGTCCTACCACAATATAATTAATAACAAAAATTCAATGATTAGCTTATTCAGGGCTGACCATACCACCAAACCACACCACAAAACCCAGGAAAAACTGCCTGTCATTACTTAGACACATCAGAATTGGTACTTTTATAGAAAGAAATGCATAATAAACATCTATCTAGTTTCTCAGTGTTAGTGATTTTTACTATGAGGAAACAAACCATATTTATGTTTGAAAGTTATTTACAGAACTCAGGAAGCTGGGGCAGAAGGATGGGCTAGAGTGAAACCTTGACTCAATTCCCTCCCCCACAAAAGAAAAAAAGTTACTTGAAAAAAAAAAACAAAACAAAACCAGAACTGCATCAAAACGAAAAAGGTGATTTAAATGGTCTTTTTTTGTTTTTGTTTTGTTTTGTTTTTAATATGACAGCTAATGGGAGCTGGAGAGATGGCTCAGCAGTTAAGAACACTAGCTGTTCTTACAGAAGACCCAGGTTCAAATCCTAGCACCCACATGGCAACTAACAACTGTCTGTAACTCCAGTTCCAGGGGCTTCAACAGCCTCTTCTGTCCTCCACAGGCACTGCACAACATGGGTACACTTATCTACATGCAGGCAATACACGCATACACATAAAAAAATGAAAATAATAATTAAAAAATATATATTACAGCTAATAACACCCTATTGCAGAACATAAATATGACCATATTACCCTTCTGTAATACCTAGAGAATTAAGCCAATCTAGACACTTTGAATAATGCTCAAGAATTATTAAAAATTACCAGCAAATTATTGCAGTAGTGGCTTTCTTGGGGTTTTTTTTTTTTTTTTTTGGTCTTTTTGAAACAAGGTGTTTCCTTGTAGCTGGCCTGGAACTCGCTGTGTAGGCCAGGCTGGCTGTGAACTCCAAGATCCTCCTGCCTCTGCCTCCCAAGTGCTGGGACTACAGGCATGCACCACCATGGCCAGCAGCAGTGGCACTTTTATCTTGGGAGCAATAACAACTATTTAATTGAACTTAAGGCCCATAATACACTATAGCTGAGTTCAGAATGGCACACATAGTCGTATTACTGTAACACTGAATAATGATCTAAACAAAATTATGATTACATTTAGAGAATGGGAAGATGATGAATGGAACAAGGAGACTGTGTGGGGAGGAGACTGGGCACGAGTGAATAGAAAATACAAAAGAGAACAGTACCTTCATTTCCCAAAGCAAAACCCAATATCCAAAGTTAAAACTAAAACTTCAGGGGCTGCAGAGATGGCTAAGTGGTTAAGAGCACTGACTGCTCTTGCAGAGGACTCGGGTTCAATTCCCAGCACCCACATGGCGGCTACGAACCGTCCTTACCTCCAGTTCCAGGGGAATCCGAAGCCCTTTTCTAACCTCCGTGGCACTACATGACACGGGTGCACTTACATACATGCAGACAATACACTCATATAAATAAAAATAATATACTTTTTTAAACTAAAAATTCAAGCAGCTGCATTTAGAAATACTATTGTAATATTTCTTTTTTAATTTAAACTAGAAGAGTTGTCAGTATATGCTTATGAATGTAGGAACTGAAGAAATGCTATTTTACAAAATTAGTCTTTGCTACTTAAGTTACATATACATATAACTGACAAATACAAATGCTAGATTTTTAATCTATCAAGAAAGTAATATATTAATCTATGCATAAATAAGTCACTAGGAGTCACTTTACTACTGTGTCTATTTAACAGAATAGTTGTGTTGGGCTCTCCTCTATGGCCTGTGGCCTGTCTAGCCACATGTTCCTCCTAGGCCTGATATCAATGTCAGGTATGGGCTTCTTTATGAAGTAGATTTTAAATCCAATTAGAAAGTGATTAGTTGTTCCCATAATATTCATGCCACTATTGCACTAGAGGTCCTGTCTTGCCAGGCCAGTTGTTGAAGCATGTAGGACTCAGAGCTGGTAAACCTAACGATTAATTTTCAACTCTCACCAGAGAAGCTTCCTTAGGCAGCAGACGGTGACTAACACAGACACCCACACTGGCCAATGTGCAGAAAATAAGAGACTGCAGAGTGATTATCCCTAAATTGGATACCTATATCAATCCACTGTCTCCCAAGGCTCAGGGATCATTGCATAGGAGGAAAATCATGTGTGGTACTATAAATATAGCCAAGTACACATGGCTAGAGAGATTATAGACCCTAGAGAAGAACCCACCTCTGCCATATCCTAAGACCACAGTAATTTCTTACACAGCCTAAATATGTATCCTTATATCTACAGAGAAGTGTACCTCCCACCACTCATCAAAGAAGCTTCTTTCTGCAACAGATGGAGGCTATTACAAAGTTCCACGCTCGTCAAATGCAGAAAATAAGTGACTGTGAGGTGCCCAGCCATAAATGATACAACTACAATACAACCTCTACACCTAAGGTTCAGGGAACATTGCGGAAGAAGGGACAGAATGAATGTAAAAGCTGAAGGAACAAGACACCTGCTGCTAGTTAATGCATTCCAGACATGATAGGGAAGCTGCACCAATGAAATCCCCACAGTGTAGTAGTGTAATGAGAGCTGCATAATGACAAAACCAGTTGCCACGCCAATTTGAAGGCAGAAAATTTCACAGGCTCCCACCTGAAGATGACGAACTACAAGCAATCAATGGATGCGGAGGAAGAATCAGTTTTCTTCAGGGACTAGTTCCCTGTATCTATCCCCAAGTGGGCAGCCCCAAACACAGGTACATACGAGCATCACTAATTGGACATAGTGTACTATATATACATATATATAAAATGCATGTGTATTTACATACATTTATCAACATTATGTATGTATATATTTGTAACAATACTAAAGGGCAAGAAACTGAGGGAGTGGGGGTACATCAGAGGAGGTGGTAAGGGACTGGGAGGGATGGAAATAATGCAAAGATAAAACTCATGTATGAAATTCTCAAAAATAAAAAATTTAAAATAAAAAAATTACTAAAACTTGATTATCAACCAGTACTTTTTTAGTGTCATATATTCATTTTTACAATGTGTTCTACTTATGTTAACTATGACACTTTCACATATGCATGAAATGTACTCTAATGATGTATACTTCCTCATTTCCCTTTATTGCCACACACACACACACACACACACACACACACACACACAGGTCCCCTTCTTCCTACCAAATAGTCCCTTTTCTACTTTCATGTTCTCTTCTAAAAATCTAGATCCCGCATGACAGAAAGCATAGATTTGTCTTGAGTCTCACTCTAGCAAAAATGACTACATTCATTTGCCTACAAATACTTCATTATTTGTGGGGTGTTGTGTGTGTGTGTGTGTGTGTGTGTGTGTGTGAGAGAGAGAGAGAGAGAGAGAGAGAGAGAGAGAGAGAAGACAGACAGTCAGAGAGCATTGTCTTTATTCACTCATCCAACTCATCCACTGTTCGGTTCATTTGCCCATTTATTGATTGGATTATTCTGGTGTTCAATTTTTTTGAACTCTATGTACAGTCTGGATTTTGATCTCCTATTAGATAACTGTTAAAAAATATTTTTTCTCCTATTCTACAGGCTGTTTCTTCACTCTGGAAGTGTTTTCCTTTGCTGTGCAGGTTTTTAATTTGATGAACTCTCACTTGTCAGTTCTACTTTTCCTGAGGTATTAGAATCCTAATCAGAAAGTTGTGCTTTATCTAAAAGTGATTTCCCTGTGTACTCTTCTAGTAAGATTTCAAGTCTCTGGTCTCACATTGAGGTCTGTGGTTAAACTGATTTTGGTACAAAGTCAGAGACACTCTTCTACACGTGGACATCCAATTTTCCAGTATCATCTATAAAAGGCTGTCCTTTCTCCAACATACACTTTTGGCACCTTTACCAAGAACTAAACTTTATTTCTGGATATCTGTTCCATTGGTCTTCATGTCTGTTTTTGTGCCAGTACCACACAATTTTTGTTGGTGTGGCTCTGTAGTATAATTTGAAATCACACACAGTGGTTGACAGTCTTTTGCTTAGGACTGTTTAGGATCATTGAGGGTTTTTGTGCTTCCAGGTGATTATTAGTACTTTTTCTTTTTCTTTTCTTTTTTTTTTTTTTTTTTTTTTGGTGTTTTTGAGACAGAGTCTCCTGTAGCCCAGCTGGCCTGGAATTCACTATGTAGTCCAGGCTGGCCTTGAACTCGAGAGATCCACCTGCCTCTGCCTCCCAGTACTGGGATCAGAGGCATGTGCCACCACACCCAGCTAGTATTGTCTTTTTCTTTTTGCTTTTTTGAATACTTTATTTATTATTTTTTTATTTTATGTGTATGAGCATATTGCCTGCATGTATGTGAGTGCACCCATGTCGTGAAATGCTGCAGAGGTCAGAAGAGAGCTTCAGATTTCCCTGGAACTGGAGTTAAAGACAGTTCGTAGCTGCCATGTAGGTGCTGGGAATCAAACCCGAGTCCTCTGCAAAAGCAGTCAGTGCTCTTAACTGCTGGGCCATCTCTCCAGCCCCCTGCTTTTTTCTAATTCTATAAAGAATATCATTGGAATTTTTGTTGGAATTGCAGTGAGTCTGTAGATTACTTTCAGCAATATGGCCATTTTAACAATAGTGATTGTGCCAATCCAGGAACATGGAAGGTCTCTTCATCTTCTAATGCCTTCAACTTCTTTTCAGTATACTCAGTCTGGAGGTCCTTTACCTCCTTGATTAGGCTTATTCCTAGGTTTCTGGCTTTTTTTGATTTTGAGGCTACTGCAAATAGGAATGACTTCCTGATTTCATTCTCAGTATGTTTGCTGTTGGTATGTATTTTTAAAACTTACTTGTATATGTTAATTTTGTGACCTGCTACTTTGCTGAAAGTACTTTCAGATCTAAGAACTGTCTGGTTGCATCGTTAGTCCATTAAGTATAGAATTATTACCACCTGAAAACAGGGATAATCTGACTCTTCCATTTCTTTTGCATTCCCTTCATTTCTTTCTCTTGCTTTATTACTCTATTAAGAATTCCTCTTGCAGGGGCTAGAGAGATGGCTCAATGGTTAAGAACACTGAATGTTCTTGCAAATAGACCCAGGTTCGAATCCCAGCACTCACATGGCTGCTAACAACTGTTTGTAACTCCAGTTCCAGGAGCTCCAACACCCTCTTCTGAGCGCTGTAGGCCATGCATGGGTCCACTCACATACATGCAGGCAATGCACCCGTACATACAAAATAAAAATAATAAGCAAAATATTTTTTAAAACGAATAATTCCAGCACAGCTGGGAGTTGTGGCACTCACTGTTAATCCCAGCATACAGGAGGCAGAGGTAGGCTTATCTCTGTGAGATCTGGGCCAGCCCGGTCTACATAGTATTCCAGGCTAGCTGTGGCTACAGGGAGACCAGTCTCAAAAAACAAAAATTAAAAAATTAAAAAAGAAAGAATGAATTTGAGCGCAATACTGAATAAGAGTGAAGAAAATGGACACTTGTCATGTATCATGCTCCTGATTTTAGGGATGCTTTTGCTTTTCCACCATTTAGTGTAACATTGGCGTTAGTTTGTCATATATGCCCTTTGTTCTGTTGAGGGATGATTTTTCTTTTTCTAGTTTCTTCAGGGATATTCTCATGAACGCACACTAAATTTTATCAAAGGCTTTCTCTGTTTAGTATGATTTTTGTCTTGGATTCTACTTATGGGCTGTATTACACTTATTGATTTCCAGATATCAAACAATCCTTGCATCCCTGTACATAATCTTTTAAATGTGTAGTTGAATTCAGTGTGCAAATATTTTGTTGAGGATTTTCTGCAACTTATTCATCACAGAAATTGGTCTGGTTTTCTTTTTTGTTGCTGCTTCTCTTATATCAGTATTTGGTTTTGAGGCTGGGGTGTTATTGGCTTTGTGGACAGTATTTGGAGGCATTCCTCCTCTTTCTATTTTATGGAATAATTCGAGAAGCAATGGTGTTCTTTCTTTTCAAAAGACCTGGCAGAATTCAGTAGTAAATCTGCCTTAGAAGGCAGAAGTATAAATGTCTTGTTCTAAACACTCAACAACACTTGAATACCCATGGGTCTGCACCCACCAATGTTCACTACAAAGAGAAGCTTCTCTGAGAAGGCTAAGAGTAGCATTTGTTTATGGGTATGAAGGTAAATGTTTAGAGGGCAGTTTGACAACATGCAAATTTAGCTGAACAACAGGAGTAAGTTCTCCCCTAGGGCCTAGGACCTCCCCAGCCATGAGTTTACTAGATTCACAGTACCTAGTATGAATTCCCTGCCTTGTAATAGGTCTATAATTCCATAGAGCAGTTGGTTGCCCCATAATAGTCATGCCATTATTGCAGCAGTGGGCATATCCTGCTTGGGAGGTTGGTGGTATGCTGGGTAACACCACTGATGCCTTTTCTCCCCCAGCAGCCTACATAGCACCTTCTGTCATTATGAAAGTGAACCAGTAGGGAGGAAGCGTCTTCCCTTAAAATCAAGTTTCAGCTGATTTCTTTCTATCTGTAACCTAGGTATGTGGTGTCTTCAGCAACAGGGTCTTATTAACTAGTTTGGGTGAGCAACCATGAGGAATGCCAATAGCCTATATTGACTTGGGGGCTTCCAGGGACTCCCTGACCAATAACTCATAAGGAGGTATCCCACACCTGATACTGAGATTTTTGTTTAATAACCCTTGCCTCTTATCTACTAATTTTAAGCTTAGCTTTTTCTTGTTGTTCTGAGACCATAAGGTGCCTTATTAGGTCAATTTGTTCTCTGATTTTTTTTTTTTAATACAGGCAACTTATAGCTACAAACTTCCCTCTTAGAATGTCTTTATTGTATACCCAAAATTCTGATAAGTTGTATTTTCTTTTGGGGAAAGTTTTTCTCCCTCTCCTCTGACTTTTTCAGTGATTCACACTGATTATTCAAAAGTATATTTTCCAATCTCGTGTTTGTATAGTTCCTGTAGTTTCTTTTACTGTTGATTTCTAATTTTCCATTTCTTTGCTTAATTTTTTATCCAAGTCTTAAATTAACTTCTTTTCTTTACTCCACTGGTCTGTTTATTTGAATCTTCTCTGAAGTCATTAAGAGTTTTTTAAACCAGACTTTTTAATTCTTTGGCATTTCAATCATTTCAGTATCTTTAGATTCGGCTACTGAAGAGTTACTAATTTTCCAAGGAGCCATTATGCCTGATTTAGTCAAATCTATGTTTATATGCTGTAATTTGCACATTTGTTGAGATGGATACATCTTCCATTTTTATATAAGGGTCTTCTTAGTGAAAGTTTTCTTTTGAAAGAAAGAAATTCCCATTCCCAATACTGCTCTAGAGAAGGAAACAAACTGCTTATATTGTTATAGCTCTGAGTTCTCCTTCCCACAAAGAGCCCAGGCTGGAACTTGAGACTGTTTTCCATTTTCCATATTGCTTTTCTGCTTTTCTGTGCTTTTTAGCTATGCTGTCACTTCTTTCTCTCCTGAGAATATAGTCTCCCCTTTGTTATGCTGAATCTTCTCATTCAGAGTCACATGGAGGAAGCTTCGAATCTGCGTTTACCTCAGAAGCCTCAATGCCTTCTTATATTTTAATAGCCTCAATACTTCATAAAGACCTTTCAGACAATTTCCTAATGACACAAGATGTTCTTTTTCCTTGTCAGCAAGTTATCTTCAATTCATATATACGATGAGTTGTTTCAGTATTTTTTCATTAATTTATCCAAAAACATTTATTCTATCTAATGTACAAAGCACTGGTCTATGTATAATAGTTATAATAACAAGATTCTACTACAATCCTCTAGATAATGCCAATGAGGTCACAAGTAATAAGATCACTCAGATATAAAGTGACTGTGTTTCCTCTCTCTGAGCTTTAGGTGGCAGTCTTACCATGTCTTATTAATCTTTGATTCTCCCTTCCATCTCTACTCCACCACAGCTTTATCACGTTATTTTTAGGTTCACTGGGTGCTCATTGAGCTACTACTATTACTGCTTCTATGGCTACTGCAGTCATTTTATTCCCATTACTACCTCTACATACTAGCCTTTCCTTAGTGGCAGAAAAAAACTATTAAGATAGAAAATCCTTCCAGAGTGTCAAGCACAAATAGTGTATGTGGCTATCATGACCCTACTGAACAGTAACCTGTGAATCCAGTTAAATCTAGACATCACAGTACAAAAAATGATAATGAATGTATAAACTCATTAACTGTGTAGAGGGCGGGTCCAGCCCCAGCTTCTTTCTATTGCTGGCAGAGTTGGGAAGAAGCAAGACAGTGAAGTCCGTAACAGAAACACACAAAACTTATGTCTTTAGCTGCTGATTTCTAATTTTCTATTTCATTGCTTAATTTTTTATCTAAATCTTCAATTACCTTCTTCTTCATTGTCTGGCATCAGACAATTCTTGCCTCCAAAAGTAGATGTCAAAGAACTGTGCATAGGTCATTCAGAAATCACAGCTTCACTTCATTCTACCAACAAGAACAGGAAAACAGACGTGCTTAACTGTCTAATTTTCTTACCTAACAGATCCATCTTGTTTTCCTCAATGAGGTGATTGATCAGCCCATTGGCTCTCTCAATTGTGCAGACAGCAATATCCAAGGAAGAAAAATGCCCTGTTGGAGAGGTGCTGCCCATATAGCCACCTACTTTTATTCCTACTTCCTGAAACAGACTCTAAATTGAATAAAAAAAAGACAGGCGAAATAAAATTAGAAAATAATCAGTTATACTTGGGTTCTACCCCAGAACACAGATATAAATCTCTAAAGATGGTTGCTTCTAGTCAAGACATATAATCATATACTAAAGTTATAGAAATAGAATCATACACTAAAAATGTTCAGAATTAACAAGGCCTGGTACAGATATTTCTGTTAAGAAGAGTGCAATAAATTTAAATTCTAACAATATTATAGAAATTAAAATTGGAGGGGCTGGAGAGATGGCTGAGCACTAGCTGTTCTAGCAGAAGACTCAAGTTTGAAACCCAGCACCCACATGGTGACTAACAACCATCTGTAACTCCAGTTCCAGGGGATCTAACGCCCTCTTTTGTCATCCACGGGCATTGCATGACACAAGCACACTTACACACAGGCAGACAATACACTCATACACAAAAAAATAAAAATAAGGGGCTGGAGAGATGGCTCAGTGGTTAAGAACACTGGTTGTTCTTGCAGAAGACCTTGTTCAAATGAATCCCAGCACCCACATGGCAGCTAACAACTGTTCTAACTCCAGTCCCAGGGGATCCGACAGCCTCTTCTGACCTCCATGGGCATTGCATGACATGGGTGCACTTACCTACATGCAGGTAATCCATGCATACACATAAAATAAAAATAATAAAATTAAAAATAAAAGTTTAAAAAATAAATAAGAAATAAAATAAATTTAAAAATTTTTAAATAAAAAAGAAATTTAAATTGGAGAAAATTTAAGTCCTAACATATTTAACTTAATAAATAGCAGAAAACTAGCTAATTTTTAATACTAATATAATGTTTTAAAGAACAATTTTATACTTCATGAGGAAAGTGGTCTTAGTCTACCAAACTTAGTTTCTTATATAATTGAAGAAAATTTTTCAGAAGTTTAAGTCAGATGGAACCGATTTTTTTTTAACTTTTAATTAACATACCTTCTCGATAAAAAGGATCCTTTCATTATTTTATTAATTTGGGTCTAAAACAAGACGAGGCAACCAAGTAGAAGAAACCAGCTTTTCTATCTGGCCTCTGAAATCACTGTTAAAAAGATTCTCTCAACTCTCACCAGCAAAGCTTCATCATGCAATAGATGGTGATTAACCCAGAAAGCCACTTATCCCTGAATAGGACATCTATATCAAAACCTCTGCCACCCAGGGTTCAGGAACCACTACAGAAGAGGGTCGGAAAGACTGTAAGAGCTAGAGGTGGTGGGAGACCACAAAGAAACAAGAGTTTTCCAGGCAGCTGGGAGCATGCTCATATGAACTCACAGCAATGGCAATAGCATGCACAAGACCCATGCAAACTCAAACCAGACAAAAACCCAGCATAGAAGCGGGGAAGTGGGCAAGAAGCCCCAACCCCAGCTGAGGAACTATTGGCAAACGATAACTACTGGGAGAGGAAGTTGGCTGTCTTTAAGGGAGCTGACAAGGCTCCAGTGTACAATTCACACCAAGGGACATTGGGGGACACAAATGTTGCTCGATAAACCTTACCATATATGACAGAATGGATGAAATCCCGGGGTGGGGGGAGGATGTATTGTGCAAACTTCTCAAAAATTCAAAAGATACAGATATATATATAGTATTTTCTAAAAAAGATTTATAGAACCAGAGAAACTTTAGAGATGTTCATTCTATAAATTTCTTCTGGGAATTTAAGTTTATTGAGTCTAGACATAGTGGTGTAAGTAAACTTATAAATAAAAATAATGAAGCCAATAGGGTGTGTGCCTGGGCTAAAGGCTAGCTAACTGCAAAACTGGCAATACAACCCAAATTTTTTTTATCTGTCAGTAATGATCTTTCTCTTCCAACACATACTGCTTCACTGAAGAATTCAAAATAGTAAATTTTTCCTATTTAATGAAATACTGTATTTGTGACATTCCTTAAAAACTAGATAGTCTCATATCAGTGCAAACTATTACTCATTCAGCAAGAATCATAAAACTAGGCCACAGATTTCAAGCATTCCCTTATGCATAATGGATCTTTCCCTCCAGTCCCTAAGTGTTTACAATGGTTCTTAGCTGGGATGGGACAGGCCTCTGTAAGCATGCTTGTCTTACCATACTTTAGTCTAAAGTCCAGCCTTCAGTTGAAATGCTGATTGGTCATTTGCACAATTACATACTAGCTCTCTTTACTCCCTAGGAAAAGTTTATCATGTTTTACATAATATCCTCCAAGCTACCCTCTTGATTTGATGTCCCTTTCTACTTTACAAAATAATAATTTTTAAGTTGCCCTTTTTAAAATTTCTTCTTTTGTTTCATTAGCAATACTAAGCTATATCCCTAGCCCTCGTTCTATTTTTTGTGACATGGTTTCACTATGTGGCCCAGGCTGTCACTGAAATTGCAGTCCTGCAATCAGCCTCCTGAGTAGATCAGATCACTTGCCTGTGCCACCAGATCTGGCTATACCTCTAAATTTTTTTGTTTTTAATGTGTACGAGTGTATTGCCTGCATGTATGTAAGTGTACTCATGTGGTACAATGCCCAAGGAGGCCATAAGAGAGTGTCGGATCCCTTGGAAGGTTGTTAGCCTCCACATGGATGCTGGGAATTGAACCTGGGTCCTCTGCAATAGCAGTCCGTGCTCTTAACTACTGAGCCATCTCTCCAGCCCCTGTCCCTCTAAATTATTATGACTTTTAACAGTTAGCTTTTAAATCTACATGGGACACAATAAAAGAAACTTTGTTTTATACCTATGTCAAATGAGTAAAGCCAACAGTGCCAATAATGAACCTTTCACTATTTCAAACTTAGTACAAAAACATTACCTGGAGGTAGGATTTCTTCTCTTTAGCCACAGAAACAAAGGGAAGAATAAACAAAGCTTTCTTCTGCATTTCCAAAACTCGCTTCAAAATAAGTAACTCTGCAACAAGAGTCTTCCCAGCACTTGTAGGAGCTAAAACATGATTATTCCACAAAATTATAACACAAAGTAACAACTGGTACAATGCATTAGTAAATGTTTTAAGCCATGCCTAGGCTCTGTAGTATTGGGTATGGCTTAACATCATTAAAGTCTCAGCTAGTGTTTGAAGCCTTAAACCCCTGAAATGTTCTTCTTTAAACTAGTTTCCCAAGTAGTCTCATACTAAACAAAGAGTTTTTAAAAATCTTCACATTAGATGGCTGGGCGTGGTGGCACATGCATTTAATCCCAACACTTGGAAGGCAGAAGCAGGTGGATCTCTGTGAGTTGGAGGCCAGCCTGGTCTACATTGCAAGTTCCAGGCCAGCTGGGGCTACAGGGAGACCCTGTCTCAAAAACAAACAAACAAAAAAAAAAAAACCCACTTCATATAAGCAATTAATGATGGGTATTACTGAGTATTCTAAAAGATTAAGTAAGGACTGAACAGCTAAAAGGCCTGCTATGAACAACTTTAAGATCATGATAGAAGCTAAGACAGAAACTGAGACAGAAGAGCTGTAAGGATACTTATGGAAAGGAGACTGGTGAGAAGGGGAAGCAAAGCCAAGCATAAGAAACACCACGTGCAAAGGCCCAGAGGAACACCTGGCATATTCTGAGGACAGTAAGTAATTTAGTAAGCTTGGAGTACAAAATCCTCCAGAGCAGCAAAAGAAGAGATTTTTTTTTTTAAATGCTATATGAAGAAGAGTTTTATAATCCTATCATATAAAGATTTTGGACTACTTTGAAAGCAATGCAAGATGCAAGCAATGCAAAATGGCTGATGTGGTTTTTTTTTGGGAGGGGGGGGTTGAGACAGGTTCTCCCATGTAGCCACAGCTGGCCTGAATTCATTATGGAGACCAGGCTGACTTGGAACTCACAGAGATCCTCCTGCCTCTGCCTCCCAAGTGCTGGGATTAAAGGCTTGTACCACCACACCTGGCTTCACTTGTGTGTTCTTAAAAACAGAATGATTAAACCATATTTATAAAAACTGATTTGGCTACAGAAGCTAGGCAAGATCAGAGAAAAAGATAAACTAGTTACAAGGCAATTATCTAGAAGACGACAGTGACCTATACCAGGTCACAGAGCAGAAAGTTCACAGAATCAAGAGATATTTGAGGTAACATGTTTTGATGATTGTGTAAGTCAGTGACTAGAGTTATAAATGATACCCAAGCTTTGAATGAAGAAACTGACCTTACCAGAGCTCTTCCACTATAACCAACTGACACAAGTGAGCACTTAAGGAGTACTTTCTGTATGCCAAAACTGTCCTTACCTCTCTCCTTCTAATTTACAAAGTCACACAGCCAGTAAATGATCCAGTTCTCAAACCCAATCAATCCAATTGCATAGCCCAAACATGCACCTATTTTTTAATTTTTAGTCTTTTTTATAGCCATAATGAAAACTCTGAGTGACTCAAGACCAGGGAAAACTGGCAAAAAGGAATTGTATCTTTTTTTTTTTTTTTTTGGTCTTTTTGAGACAGGGTCTCCCTTGTAGCCCCAGCTGTCCTGGAACTATGTAGACCAGGCTGGCCTTGAACTCACAGAGATCCGCCTGCCTTTGCCTCCTGAGTGCTGGGATTAAAGGCATGTGCCACCACGCCCATCTATGTATCTCTTTTTTTTTAATTTTATGTGTATGCATGTATTGCCTGCATGTAGGTAAGTGCACCTGTGTCATGCAATGCCTGCAGAGGTCAGAAGAGGCTGTCAGATCCCCTGGGACTGGAGTTATGGACAGTTGTTAGCTGCCATGTGGGTGCTAGGATTCAAACCCAGGTCTTCTGCAAGAACAACCAGTGTTCTTAACCACTGAGCCATCTCTCCAGCCCAAGGAATTGTATCTTACATTTGATACTTAAGTCACTGCAGTAAGCACAGGTTAAAAATTATACGTCAAAGTTGCCCTTGGAAACCTATGTAAATTTTCTTATAAAGAATATTACATATTGTTTTGTATATACAACCTCATACAAACAAGCTATCTACAAAAATATAATGCTCACACACTGAAAAACTGAGATCAAATAAGGGAGAAGCAGATTGGCATTTCACATTATAAACTCCCTCTGGGACATGTTTATTAAGCAAGCAGAATTTTTACTCTATAAATTACCATTTTCTTGCTTCCCCTCCCTTACCACATAATGGAATTTTCATTAACTTCAGTATGCATAAAATGAGACTCCACTTCTAATAATATTTTATGAGTTTTCCTAGTTATAAAGCATTGGCTCATCTGCCTTTTAAAAACTGTATCCACCCCAATAGAGTATCATTGACACTGATAATAACTTTAAAGTAGAGAAATTAATTTGCATAAATTTGAATACCTGAATAAACTAGATTCTTTCCTTCCAAGACTTGTCCAAGCAAAAGGCACTCTGCCTGCCATTCAAACATCTTTTTCACACCAAAACTGTGATATTTCTCCAGAACTGCTTTAGGAAGTCCCCAATTTGCCAATAGCAGCTGGTCTAGTTGGTCATCAGAGACTGTTTGCTTGCATATTCCTTTTAGGAAAAAGAAAATTTTGATTGTGCAATTAGTTCTAACATATAACTTTAGCAGTTAGCCCTCTATTATTGGAATTCATACATGTTGAAACGAAACTGACCTACGTGCTGACTCAAGAGACTTAGGAAAAATTGACCATGTGTAAAAAAAAAATACTAGAAAATTGTTATTTGACATAATTCTAATTTTTTTTTCTTGTATTTTGAGACAAGGCTCTGGCTGACCTGGAATTGACTATGAACACCAATCTGGCCTCAAACTTGCAGACATTCCCCAGTCTCTGCCTTCTGAGTGCTGGGATTAAAGCTGTGCCCCACCACATCCAGTATGAAAATTCTTTAAAGTTGCAAAGATCTATCCTATACACAAGGAATAAGAATTTTGGAGTGACAGGAAGTGGGAGGGAGGCACTCCACAGTGATAAGCATCACAAAACTTAAAGAAGTTTCTACTGAAGTTTTGCGATGATTGCAGAATCAAGGAAAAAGGAATTGTGGGACATGGTGTCGCAGGTCTCCAGCATTTGGGAAGCAGAAACAGAATCAAGAATTGGAGGCCCTAGGTCAGCGTGATCTAGAGTAAGATCTTGTCTCAAAAAATGAACAAGAATTGAGCTAACATTCTTAGGAAACAATACAAATCCTTTCCAGCTTTGCTCTAGACTCCAAAGAGCCCTACCTGACACCCGGCAATCTGCTATAAGTATCTGTAAATTGTACCGTGCATTATTCGAAGCAAGTCTCTGACCGGGTCTGGCAAACTTGAAACTTGTTTCTGTAAAGTTGGAAAGACCCAGAAACCACTTGAACATTATGATCAGGCAGTTGAAAGCACGCATATGTCTGGCATGGTAGCCTACGCTTCTAGTCCCAGCACTCTGTGAAGGATTTCTGTGAGATGCCAGCCTGGCAGAGGCAGAAGGATCTCTGTGAGATGGAGGCCAGCTTGGTCTACACAGGGAGACCCTGTCTCAAAACAAACTACACACACATACAAACGCGCTAATATCTACACAAGCAATAGCTGGCTAAAGCCCAGTGAGCTGTGCAAGCCGGGGCTGGACCCGAAGGCTACTCAGGACCATGGCATCCAGGGGCTGCCTACAGCGCCCACAGCCCAGAGAGTTGTACTATCTGCTCCTGGGGCAGCAGAACCGGGTCCAAGCGCGGACGTTGGAGTCCCAGCCCCAGGAGTGGACTACCTGCCCCTGCGGTCCCCGGCCCAGCCCCGGGGGTGGACTACCTGCCCCTTCTGTCCTCGGCCCAGTCCAGGGGGTGGACTACCTGCCCCTGCGGTCCCCGGCCCAGCCCCGGGGGTGGACTACCTGCCCCTTCTGTCCCCGGCCCAGCCCTGGGGGTGGGCTACCTGCTCCTGCGGTCCTCCGGCCTCCGCCCAGCCCCGGCGGTGGACTCAGCACCGGCCTGGGGACGAGCTGTGGGCTGACACTACTGTCACCGCCGCCCGAGAACGAGTCCGAGCCGGATGCTGAACGTCGCCGTTTCCCACTCCGACGCGGAACACTCATTGCAAACAAGTCCCTGTTAGTTGTTCAGGGCAGCACACAGTCCCAGCGCCCTTCCACCCGAGACAATGCCGGCCTTGCGCAAGGTGCCTTCACAATCTCCCCGCCACAGTCTTCAAACTGGGGCCTCCCAGCCAGCCCCGGAACCATAGAGTTCTTGAGGGCTAGAGTGATCCGACAAACATCGACTCTTCGGGAAGGAGCGGCTCCTACTAGCGGCTGTCTTCCGGCCTCCGACGCTGGGCTGCCTGTGAAAGTGAGAGGACTAGAGTAGCCTCTAGTTCTGAATCTGATAGCCCGGCTTAAAAACGTTTTTGTCCACTTCTGGTTCGAACAGGAAGGCTGTACTAACAATAAAATGAGCTGCCTGAAATAGGTGAATTAGGGAAGTATCTGTTCTTCACTGTTGGTATTTTTTTCTCAAAAACTGTTCCAAGCAGGGGTGTGGTGGTACATGCCTTTAATCTCCGCACTCACTCTGAAGGTAGAGGCAGGCGGATTCTGTGAGATTGAGGCCAGTCTGGTCTACATAGCAAGTTCCAGACCAGCCAGGGCTACAAGTATACCATCTCAAAAAAAAAAAAATCCAGATTTTGTAAAAAAAAAAAAAAAAAAAAAAAAGATTTTTTGTATCCTATGTTTTTTTTGTGAGGATAACAGGCTGAGAGGAGAAGGAAGGTGGCCAAGGCCTCACAGATTGTAGAGAAGGCAGTTGGGGAAACACCAGTCACACCAGTGTTTCCCCAGCTGCCAGGAAATCTCCCCTGCTCCTCCAAGTCACAGTGACTGGACTCCAACCCAAAGCCCTAATTTACACCCCTCAACAGTTCCCCTCTCTGGCCAGACCCCAATCTTGCAGGCACTTGCTCATCATGCATTTTAGTTCTGAAAGGACCACCCTGCCCACCTCAACGAAGAATTTCTTGGCAGACAGCTAGCAAAGGTGTTTCACAGCTGTTTGCCAGGAAAAATGGGCCAGCACTTGGCACCCCACTATATTTTCTTAGTAGTGATTATTTTACATATCCTTAATACTATCCTTATAGCCACTGTGGGTCTACTCCTGAGGGGGCAGATTCTAGACAACTGCTGAATGTAACTCCCTTTCCTTGGTGAGCCTTTCTGCATTCTGACTTTCTAATATACATTAAGATGAGACACATGATCTCAAAGGATATTTCCATGTAATATCATCACTCTCATCTCCAAGAGTCAATCACTCCATCACCACTGCACCCTCTGCCCTTTTCCCATGTGTGTTCCACATGTTGACTTTCAACTTAATGACTCTAAGGCTTCTTTTCCAAAGCAGTCAGTTGTCTTAGAGTTTCCAGGAGCATCTGAAAAACGTCCCTCTCTGGTTTCTATTCCCCTAACGTCCCCCCCACCACACACACCCCTGCCGATATGGCAGGAAGGTGCCGAAAGAATCTGGTGTTTGTTGCCTGTCCTCC